AACCTGGGGTAGGTTTGGGTCGTTTGGTTCCTGAAAAACACTTGCGGTTTGGTGTGGTGTCCTAGTGGCCCTTGCGACCTGTTATAGCATTTGTGAGAGTTGAGGAACTGACTGCCCTGAAGCCAGTCAAGCTGTGTCAAGAGCTTGCACTTCCTTCGTATGCTGTCCATGATTCCGTCCTGGTGCGACGGGAAGATGGGCGACGGTCCTTCGTACCTGGCCGATGGGCCCGTGTCGTGCTCGCTCCAAAACGCACATAGGGCAAGGAAACCGGAGCATCATTGAGTATTGCATTGCAGGTGAGGCAGTGTCATTTGGTACACAAAGGATATTTCCTGGAAGCAGGGGGGGTCCCTGCAGGCATGGCTTAAACAACTTTTGTTTTGAAGAGACATCGATGCTGTAGGGCATTAACCAAGTGACAGCGGACAACAAAAGAAACAAGAACGCACTTTGTTGAGAAAGCACAGTGCGGAACGTCATTCTGAGTCCTGAGGCAGTCGTCATTCTTTCTGCGGCGATCTCAGTGTTCTTTGTTTGCCTTCCCTTTCTTCAGAGCCGAGAAGACACCTATGCCCCTTGCACGCGTCAGCTGTTCAGGACATGTCGGGAGGACATGTGTCTCAACGTCAGGACACCTACACTCTCTCAAAAGAAATTGCTTACGTGGATGGCATGCCCCCTCCTGCCGCCCCCCTCCCAAAAATAACAACATGGACATACATGGACCATGAAATCCTCTACCAACAAGTACAATTTTCCTCATTGGTGTTGCTCTTTTCATGCTTGTGCGATGTGGTGAACGGAAGGCGGAATGGCTCCCAGGCCTGGAGCAGGTTGGAGTGTTCACGGAGCGTAGCGAGCTCTTGTGTGACGTAGACATCTATTTATACTAAACAAATCTAAGCATACTGAGTAGATTTGCTTTTGTGGGTGTGAATTTTCATTTGGAGGTCTCCAACGAATGGGTTCCTGTCTATTTTTCCTCCTTCCCAGGGGTCTTTGGGTGCCTCCCTATTTTAATAACTTTTGAAGCATATCCATATGGTTCTCACCTGATGGAACAAAACCCTCATAAAGACGTTTCCTGGCAATTGCGACAGCGAAATCTACCATAGTCCTGCTACACCTTGAGCCACAGGTGAGGCATCCCCACTGGTGATGCATCTTCCAGAAACAGCGAGACAAACCACGACCAGACACAGACTGGACGCTTTCGCCTGTTCCACAGCGACAGACTCGACTTTACTAAGACCTGGGCTGAACAGACCAAGCGCGCACATGGATTCAAGCTGCCGTTCATGCCGGTTCCGCCATTGATGCTTGGGAAGGATGGAGCGGAAAACTGCGGATGGAGTGAATGGAGTGGATGGAAGGAGTGTTTGCAGAAGACGATTGAGTTCTGAACAGTTTGGGTGAATAAGGCTCGTGATGGCTCGTTTTCGGGTTTCCGGGTGCTTCGAAGCTGCATTCGTCGTGTTGATGGGACATGTCTCCTGCAGGGCCCCAGAAATCCATTTAGGATACGGCATCTCTTCAATTCTCCAAGGAAAGAGATCCGATTGTTCATGATCATTCCAAGTGCCTGGATGTTGTCGAACGGTATCGGATGGATACCTCCGACATCCTCGGCTCGGAATTCACCAAGGATCGGCATTATGATGAATGTGCCGTGGCCATGTCCGACAGGAGACCGATTCGCAGATCTCAACTCGCTCAATTCGCACTTTGGGATTGATAGAGTCAGATTAGTAGTCAGGTCAGGTCCCCTGTGGTGCACACAACAAGTATCAACAAGTGCTTCCAACCCCCAAAGTCCAGCATAATGATGTGCTGAAATCACCAGGAACCAGTGATTTTTTCTTGCATGCTCTTTCATTCGTGCCCATCATTGTGCCCTTGGGTGCAGCTGGACGGCAGAGAATAAGATGATTTAATGTAAGAAGTTCAACAAGAAAAGTGAAGATTAAGTCCGTTGCGCTCTTTTCATGTTACGGATGATAATTTGTATCAGTCGGGTGAGTTGATGGTTCATCGGGGTACCTGGCAGATTTCTTTGCTGACATTTGGCAAACAGATGCGAGTTTTTTTTGAGAGACATTTGCGGGAACATTAAAACTCAACCAACAGAGCATGACCGCATTCTTCGATTGTCCCATTTAGTCTGTTTGTATGGGCAGACTCAATTTCGCCGACGGGCGTACGATGGAGGGTGGCGGAGCTCAGGTGTTGCTGATCTCACAGATGAGTTTCCTGACATTGATGGAGGCTCTTTTCCTGCAGACCGTCGCTGGCGCCCCTCAGACTTGTGAGAAGATGTGGTACTGCTTTTGGGAAGAGAGTAATCGTACATGAAGGATTTAGACATGCACGTCTTGTGCACAATATGCATGTTACTATGGCAGAGATAGGATGTGTTACTTATGTTTTACTTGGTTTTGTGGTGGTCAAAAACCACGCGTGGGTGGCGGAAGTTGTGGTCCTCGTGCCCTGTGCGAAGTAGCTGTTTTCCTTGAGTGAGGTTCTCAGCTGTTTTGTATTCGGTCTTGGGATTTCAGGGTCATTCCATCGAAACCAGGATTCTTCCAGGCTGTAAACCACATGTCCAGGTCCTAGGTGTCCACCTGTGGATGCTCCTCTCGGAAGGCTGATCTCTTTCAACCGGGTCTCTGAGGCCTTTTACTTTGGCTACTCGTTTTCACGGAGCCACCTCAACGTGACCAAGAAGGCACCATGTGAGAACACGAAAACAGAGCGTTGGGTCACAGAGCGTTGTTATTCTCTTTCCCGCGACCTGCTACAGGGTTGCTCGTGGCCAAAAAGATGCAGCATAGAAACGGATTTTACAGCTCTCCATTCCCAGATCACCATGCAAAAAAGCTCTGTGCCCAGAATCAAGGAATGGACCAAGTGATTAAACTCCGAAGGACATGCTAAAGGCTAGTTTTTGGTTGATACTGAACTTCTAGACTAGAGCAAGAACCACTATATAGTCACTAGACTATAGTACACATGCAGAGTCTCAGAATGGGCACATCACCTCTTCAGCTCTTGTTGCTGCAGACCTGGGCTCCGGTGTTTGCCAGCACCGTGCCTCCTCAAGAGCCAGATGATCTGTGAGAACGGGCTTTGAGTCTGTCTTTTGTGGGCAGTGGCCCATGAATTCGATGCAAACAAATCTTTGGAAAGGGTGGAACATGGTGAAACACTGGAACACAAAGTGAAAAAAGACATTGCAGATGAAACTACATGATATATTTGAAAGATTGTGAAACCTTTGGAGGACTTATATAAACCACCACAATATCATAGAAACATAACATCTCAGCCCATGCATCATTCGGAACGCCAATGCACACACCATTGTCTCTGAAGATCATCATAAAAGGGCTCATGGATGCACATGGTGTTGAAACTCTTAGCTGTTTTGTTTCTCCTGTTAGGAGATATAAATTTAAAATATTCCCAGTTGTTGACGCTTTGTTTCTAGCTTGTAAGCTTTAACTTAGGTCTGGTGAAACAGGAATAGGGCTGCAGCCGGGCTGCTATCTGAACAGAGGACTGAATTCCCATGCTTCACATGCTTTTTTTTTTGCAAAACAGATCGAAGCTTGCAAGATGCCGTCTCATTTGCCCTCGACCCTGAACTCCCCAAGGAGCCCTGCCATGTTTTTGAAGCTGCAAGTTTTGCCACCCCAAGGATCGCCCGCGCGCACAGCCGCTCTGCTGACCCGGTGTCATCTGAGGCAGAGTCTTCTTCTGCTGGCTGATCAGCTGTGGGATTTCTGGCTGTTGCCAGATCTCTCCACCCGGGGACTTCAATGCGCATTCGCAGTTGCAACAGGAAGGGGAAAGCGAAGGCTTGTCCCAAAGACGGGTCAAGGGCTCCTCTTGCGCGCTCCATGATTGGAGCTGTCCAAGACTCGTATAGAGCGGAGTCCGATCCCCACATCCGGAGAGCGCGATGCCCGCAGTTCAGGCCACAAGGTGCCGTTCGCCGCGCCCACCAATTCGCGCCCCTGCTGCCGGGCGCAGCAATCCCATTGCTCTGTGAGGTCGTCCTCCAACGAAACGGGTACAAGTAGCCAGAGATTCAAAGCAAGCTGTCAGAAAACCTTCAAACACTTGTGGCTATACTCTCGCAAGGATCTTGCCCAGTACAGGTTCCCGGATGTGTCCGGTGTGTACCCGAAGGGCAGAATGGACAAATACCATGGGTCTCATAAATGTAATATGTATACGTATATATATATATATATAATATAATTGATAACTATATCAGCACAAGGAATGTGAATAGTGAACATCAAGGGTTTACCACAGGGTACTGATACTATTCTTGATTTTGTTATTGAACGCCGTTTTGAGTACTGTAACTCCTCGCTTGTTTGTTCAATGCCGGAAGACGTGTTGTGCGAGGAAGTAGGTAAATATGCATTCCAAGTATATATATATATATAGGTTGATGGTCGGCTCTATATAAAATCAACAAATGTCCTCAAGTTGAGCTCATGCAATGCCTCTGGAATCAAGTCTTCTGGGGAGTACTTATGAGTCTGACCAGGAACAAGCTGCTGTAGATTTGAGACCGATGAGACGCCAGATTGATGAAAGGATGGCGTTTGTTTGTTGGAGAGCGATTTGATGTGAATAGGCATAGGTCCTCTAAGGCAAACAACACACCAATACATGACCGCTTCCATCTATCAGCCTCTCTCTTCGAGAAGCAAAGCTGACGTCCTGGACACAGAAAAGAAACAGAACGACATGTTTGCCTGCTGGATATGGGTTTGGTGGTCAGGGAGCACTATAGGATTCGGCCAGGAATTTTATATCCAATTTCTGCAGGGTCTCCAAGGCACAGGCAGCCCGAAGCTCATTGTGGCGATGGACATGCTATGAGGTAGCCTGAGCTCTTTTCAGGTTTCTACCTTTCGGACGCTTCCTATGCAACATCTATGTTTTGCGAATCTCTCGTTTGCCTTCTGTGCGAATGTCAGGGCAGCAGAAGATGCGGAACGGATCCCTATTTGACGCTGGACTTCAGCTCAAGGCAGCCGGCAACGTGATTCAGACAGCTTTTTGCAAGCTGTATATACTAGAAATCGTGAAGGTGTTTAACATCCTGGCAGAATCCTATATATATAGTTATAGTTATAGGGTAGGTGGATGAGTCAAGCTCTTCAACCACGAAAAGCCTTCACCGGTGACTTTGTCTTGCTGGGCCGAGACAAAGCGACTGCCCCGAGTTTTGCCGTTGCCGCGGACGTGTCAGGGGCATCCTTTGGGACACCTTCGATATGTATCCCGATGTACCGGAGGGTACCATCTTCTCCAAGACGCCTCTTGGCCTCGAAATAGCAGGCATTTCGGCACGGGCCCTGCATGGCCCTGCATGGTTTGAAGAAATTTTCAGGGGAGGATGAAATCAAATGAGCGCAGATATGCGCAGACATGTGGCTTGAATTTACAGACATATATCGGCGTACCTGGGGCGTGCCCAGAGTGCCGTCGTGGTCGGCCAGAGTCTGCTCGTACTGAAAGGCAAACACATCTCCCAAATCTGAGACAAGGAACATGAAGCCATCCCACCCTGAAACCCACAGAAGACATAGAAGTTGCTCAGGGCTTAGCAACTCTGGAATCTATGGAACATATTTAAAATAAAGTATTAGTATATGTGATATCATGAGACTATCATGGAGATCAGTGCCACTGGCACACTGAAGATGAGAATAGTTCATGAGCTGGTTCAGCTGCGAGCCACTCAGATCCAGGCCTCGGCTTCAAGTGGAGACTTTGGCCGGACGCTCTTTTTCCGAGGTACAAGATCAATATGGATCCCATGGTCTTGAGAGATTACTGCAAGGTCCAGGGGGAGAAGCCGATGGCACCGCGGGTGTTGGCTTGTGGAATTGGGGGGGCTGTCGATGTGAGTAGTTCACCCGAAGGCAAGCGGCCGGAGAGATCGTCGATCGGAGCTGCCGGACATCATTCGAAGCTGCCGGACGTCTCTTTCCGAAGCGTGTTTTTTCCATTCTATTCGAAGCATGGCTTTCCCAGATTCTCTTGGGGTCATTGTGCCATATTCTGCCCAGGCAGCTGAAACATTTTTTCATATCTTTGTCCATGTTGTGGGTTTTGCGTGCATCGGATTCACTTGTGACATCGTGACCTATGTGGCGGAGCGAGACCTTGTCACGCCTCTAGGAATCTTCGGCCGTTTTCATGGAGAAAGTGGAGAAAGTGCCACCGCTGAAAAGTAGCAAGTTACTGATCAGTAGGTATGTGGCCGTAGGTCAAAACCAAACATGCCCAATCCCTTGGTGACCTACATTCCAGGTCGATGAGCCCTTGGTATCGGTGACATCCTCGGTGTTACTATCGGTGTACCATATCGTACCAAGCGTGGGGGGTGGTTTTTGATGGGTGGTATACTGTTACCCATCCACATCTAACTCCATAGCTATGGTTTGAACATCTAACAGTCATTTAACACCTATCCGCACAGACTGCAACCAGGCGACCCAGCCGTTTAGCTGGCCAGACAACGACTGCAAGCATTGGGCCAAGGGCGTCCTAATGGTCGAAGCCTCGAGCGGGAGTCCAGACTCCAGACCAAGAGAATTCCCGTTGTTGAGCTAACTTGTCCTTTTGAATGCTATTCCCGAGCCACTGATTTTGGGACTAGCACCAACTTAGGAGGTGTCCTGTGCTTGGTTGCAAGACTATCCTCAATTAACAGGGTTGAAGTTCAGAAGTTCCTCCTATTTTCACGGTCAGCAGCTCTCCTCAGATTTGACGAAGCCAAACAGATCCATGGCCTCTGACCGAAGAAGGTCGCGGAAGGTTGCAGGGAATCAGCCTGGTCACTGGATCCATTCTACCATGGGGATGGCATATATTATTGATTCAATATTCCATATTATATGATGGCATATACTATATATTATATGATGGCATAATATTCATACTCAATAATGTGGACTCTTGATTAATAACTAATAACACCCCCCTGGATGAAGAGGATTTCCAATTCAAATGGGAACGATTATTAATCAAGAGCATAGATTATTCAATATATAGTAATATTATTACTACTATATTTGCACTGCCCGCCCTAAGAATCCTTGTGACACCGAAATAACGCAGGGGTTTATCCGAACCAATACCCTAAACCCATTGGTTTGGGTCCGGATTCTTTTAGTGGGGTTCATTCTTGCTCTTGGCGTTGTGCTTGCCCGGTTGTCGTGTCTCAAAGGTTTCGGTAGCTTTCTGGTAAGAAACACGTTTAATTTGCACATGTAGGTGGCCCACTACTTTCTGAACAAAATATGTGTACTGGCTTCACGCACCTTCCCTCCACCAACTACTGTTGGAGCAAACTCTGAAACTAGAGTGCTACTTCGAATCCCCCCCACCCACCCACACGCACACACAGTGGGACTCCAGTGACTTGTTGGGACTCGTTGCAACGTCGTTCCGAGTTGATGGGCATCCGAGAAGATCCCGCGAGCGATGGCACCGGGGCCAAAGCAGACGGGGCAGGTCGGCGAAAAACGCGGGAATATATGGGAACACATTTTTTGGTCCAGGATGCTGGTTCAGCTAGAAAATCCATGCGGGAGCGATTTCGCTCCAGATTGGTGGTAGACTTATTCATGGAGTTGTTTTTTGTGGTTCCCTTCTCTTCTGAACCACAAGTACATATGTGCCAGCCAGTCACGCCAATATCAATCTGGCAATATGGAAGATCGTGAAGCTGCTGTCTCGCGGTAAGGTGATTGGGTCTAGGTGGATCGGGGATCCAAATCGTCCAAGCAACCAACCTAACTAATCTTTACATTTACTTTGCCACCTGATTTGCCCAGCGCCTGCCGCCTGCGGCCCCTGAACCGAACAAAGTCAAGTTCAGTTCAGTCCTGCAAAGTCTTTCCGTGAAACCAGTTTCCGCTCCGCACCTGTCAGCTTTGCATAGCACTCGGTCGCATTGGTTGTCTCATTCGGATGTGGCAGGACTGGTCCATCTTCATTGGAAGGTATGTGTATGGGTGAGTGGGAATGAATACCAATATAACATCACAACAGACGGCATCCCGGTGTGCTTCTCAGAAAATTATGGGCAAGAACATCATGAATACTGACAGGAGACTGGGTTCCCTCAGGCCCTAAGGTGTTTGAAGATTCATTTACTTGGGAGTTCCAGCCAGGACTATGTTGGCCAGGGGAATGCACCTGCTTTATGGCCAAAGGCTGTGAAGTTCATTGTTTTGAGACACGGCCTGCGTGTGAAACCCAAACAACACCGACTCACATGGACACGGATTCCTGCCTTGCAGTCTTGTTGTGCACCAGGGGCGGGCAGGCATAGGACCGTATATACATATATAATGTGGTAGTCGATCTAAAGGTCCTAATAGGGATTGTTGATGACGATAACCCTGGAACACGTCAAAATCCCATTTGGCGAACTTTTTTCTCGAGTTGGCAACATAATTTGTTTGCTCAAGATATAGCTAAACATGTTCTTTCTGCTGCTGCTGCTGCCGCTGCTAGTACTACTGCCGCTGCTGATGCTACTACTGCTGCTACTACTACTACTACTATTCCTGCTGCTGCTGCTGCTGCTGCTGCTGCTGCCGTTGCCGTTGCCGCTGCCGCTACTACTACTACTACTACCTACTACCTACTACCTACTACCTACTACCTACTACGTACTACGTACTACGTACTACATACTAGATACTAGATACTACATACTACAACCGCTACTACTGCTACTACTGCTGCTACTGCTGCTACTGCTGCTACTGCTGCTACTGCTGCTACTGCTGCTACTGCTGCT